GCAAGCTCCGAGTGAGTGAGTACTCAGTTTTTCATATTTCATCCACAGTAGGCTTGTGAGTCTCAATAGGGCCAATAGACGAGTAATAGTGACAAGTAGAGGTGGAAGACTTGTCTGATGTGGCCACACTGGGAAGAGGAGCAAATAAAAAGGTCCAGCCGAGTCGCTTTTTCTCCATCCTCACAGCCTTGACATGAAGTTTAGATTTAAGGTGTATTCTCACCATCATTGACCCATCATTGATTGTCTTTACTCCAGTTTTCTCCAGTAAGATGGTCTGAAAGGCTGTCAGAACTGTGCGAAGGGAGGCAAGTTCCTCAGTGTCTGGCAGCAGACTCCAACCTTTTCCTTGTCCCAGTATGAGATTCCTGAAAATTCTGATTTCTTGGGGACAGTTGTTTCAATAGTCGTATGTAGCCAAAGAAGCAGAGCACAATGTTTCTGTAGACTATATGCATTCCTTCCAGGAGGGCTATTCTTATTTCACTTGGATGGCCACTAGTTCTTTTGTTTTAATATGAATTATTAATATTAACTCTGAAACCACACAGTGCACATTTCACACAATACAGTAGTAAGTATGTGCTACAGAATGGCTCTGAACAGGTCAGAGAGGCATTCAGGGTTCAGTGGTGGCAAAGAGGCTATCTAGACATAAGGAAAAGTTTCAGTAGAGAGCAAGATAAGTGGTTTTACACTCCACATCTGTAGAGCTATTCAAAACATAGGATGGCCAGATAGTTCTGAATGTTATTTTATGATTGCATGCATATCATACACAAGAGAAACTGCTTGAGCTAGAGCCTGAAACAAAGGCAGAAATCCTTTCCTGTGGCAAGTTTTCAGGATGAAACTTGTGACAAGTGACTAGGTGGTGGGTCAGTATTCTACACATCAGTCTTATAATGCCGCTTTTTACCATCTTGAGGGAGGGGCTTCTATCTGGTATGATTGATAAACTCATGCATGATGTTTCCAATATGATTCCATATATTCACATGTGTAGTAATATATTCACATGTGTAGTAATTTATTGGTACAAATACCATTATTTATTGGTTTGTGCCTCATGATGATGGTTGTTTACTTGCATAAACAAGTTATAATGTTATCCTATCTTACCTCTTATGATCAGGATTTAGTAATTCGGGTTAAAACTGTTCTCTTGGGGATGGTGAGAAGGCTTAGCAAGTAAGGGTCCTTGTTGCTAAGTCCCATGACCTTACTCCCATCCCTGGGATCCACCTGGTTGAAGGAGAGAACCAACTTCCACAAACTGTCCCGTGATCTCTACCTGAGTGCCATGGCATGCATGTGCCGTTCACACATGCATACAAGCACATGAAATAAACTTCAAAGAGGTAATAAGAAACTCTTGCTTTGTAAATTGCAGTATTTCAAGCACACCCTGAAAGCTGCTGGTCTGCACAGTTTAGGATACTTCCGGATATCCACACTCATATACTGGGGAGAGGGGTACAGAACATGTGAGATGAATAAACAGGAACCAGAACTCATGCACTTTGTCTGGCCTTGGACAACAGGGTTGTTCCTCTCAGCCCTGCTGGGGAAACAGCTTGAGGAAGAAATTGACAAATAAGGCATTTTAAGATAAGAATTTCCATAAAGCAGTAGTGTCCAACCCTCCTGATACTGTGACTCTTTAATACAGTTCCTATGTTGTGGTAACCCCAACCAAAAAATCATTGGTACTTTATAACTGTAATTTTGCTACTTTTTTGTATCATAATGTAAATGTCTGATATGCAGCCCCCAAAGGGGTTGCAACTAACAGGTTGAGAACTACTGCCATAAATCATGAGGCCCAGACTAGGGGATTTAAGGACAGTTCTGCCTGCAGCCTGTTCACTGCTGACTCCTGGTCAGACACCACATGGGAAGAATAGAAGACTCTGTTACGGTCTTACAGAAAGGCACTCCAGAAACTCCCATCTGATGGTCTTTCAAAGAAATGGCTGGTTTCTCATGCGAAGACCACAGAGCGAAGCCTTGTCTCTCAGTGAAGCTGGCTACATACTTAGCTTCCCAATCAAGTCTGACTTCTCTCTTAACTGTGACCAGTCAGGGAGGGCATATCTGATGAAAGCCTTCTTTTTTTAGGATGCAGGTACCGAGTCAAATAAATGCAACAAAACAAAACAGAAAAAAAATAAATCTCAGCCAGAGCAGAGGGAAATAATAAGGTCTCAATCTTCAGAGAGCTGGGCTGTCGCACTTCTGAAACAAACACAGGATGCAAGCACAAGAAAGAGACAGCTAGAGAATAAGAAAAAGGGCTTAGACATCACATATGCCACTATGAAAAGTGGAAGATAAAGTCATTGACTTCAACCAGGAACAATAAAAGATAAGACATGAGGAACAAGAGAGAAGGTATGGAGTCTTTAGGAGACTGACTCAACTGACTGGTGCTTGTCTAATAGAAGTTCTATAAAAAAGAAAAGTAAGGGAACGCATCAAAGAAGAGTATTGTCCCAGGGAAAGAAGATTTATTTCACTGGAGAGACACGAGATATTAGTCTGAAGAAAAACCGTAGCAAGGCACTTCATTGAAAAATACTTTAGAATCAACAACCAAGGAGGACAAAAGAAGATACAACAAGACAAGGCAAAACCCCTCATATTAAGGCTGTACAAGGAAATTCAGTAGCAGGAGTCCCAAGAGCAGGAAAATAGTCAGAGACATATGCATTCCAACCGTTAAGAGTTCCACAAAACCACCAAGCTAAGAGCCATAACATATATGCAGAGGTCCTGGTGTAGATCCATGCAGGCCCATGCTCCTCCTTCAGTCTCTGTAAGCTTACATGAGCTGTTTAGTTGATTTGGTAGGACATGTTTTGCTCCTTTCTGAAGGAAAATGGAGGGGGAGTGTATGTGGGAGGAGGTTGGGGGGAACTGGGAGAAGTGGGGGGAGGAGAAACTGTGCTTGGGATATATTTATTGAGAGAAGAATCTATTTTCAATTAAAAAATTAAAATAAAAAACAAAAAAGAACAAAGAAAAGAAAATGCTTTAGAAAACCCATGGTAATGAGACTGCAGATTTCCAGGGAGAAAACCAAGTGGCCTATGCAGTATATGACAATCAAAGCGACAGCAGTGCTGGAAGACAAGGCAGAAATGTATGTAATTAATCAGGTTTTATGCTCAGCTAATGAAGAGTTGGTGTGAGTCTGGCCTAGCAGTATTTTCACACAATGCTCAGAAAGTGGCTTTGGGTATCCTGAAATATATTGTTGAAGGAGAGTAGCTACCGGTGACACAGTTCTCTATCTCAGAGAAGGTTCAGAGGTGGGTTCTGGAGTATAGATGGAGAAGTATCTTGGAAGCAGCCAGCACAGCCCATAGAAGAAGAAAAAATGGCTATCAGGGGAAGGGTGTCCCTCTGAACAAGGAAGCAGTACTGTTTTTGTAAGAACTCAAACTTGGCTTAACTCAGACAAAGATTACTATACTTGATAGGAGTTTGGGAAAATTCAATATTCTACTTTAAGGTAAAGCAATTGTTAACCGGGAAAGACAGCTATGGCAAAGACACTTGAAGGAAAAGTTCCTTCCTTGCCATATTTTACAGGATTTAATATGCCATCAAATATAAAAACATATTATTGTGAGAAGAAAACAGCTGTTGTTTGGTAGAGAGGCAAGTTGTGAGTTAAACAGCACATACAGGTTGAGGTGTATTAAAGGGTTTAAACATATTATAAGGGATGAAACTAGCAACCTATTTGGCTTTGCAGTATGGCTGTCCATTTCAATGTTAATAGGTCATGTAACAACAACAACCAAGACAATGTTGTTTTGTTTTTGATTAAAGATAGAGGTTTATTTTTTTCTCATTTTTTATTCTTCTCTCATACACTAGAACTCAATTGCGGTTTCCTCTTCCTCCACTCCTCCTAGCTCCCCTTCTTCCCTGTGCCCCCCTCCTTCCCTTCTTCCCCCTAATATACTCCTACTCTGTTTCATTTTAGACCAAAGGGAGAGTTTAATGTTTAGAATTGGTAAATCAAGAATGAACAGTATTAAGGGCTAGGAATTTGGCTGACTCTGGCCATGCATGCTTGCCATATGAGCAGGAAGACTTGAATACAATTCTCAGCACCTATGTAAAATGTAGGGCTCAAAAGCACATTGGGGTGGGGGAAGAGGCTTGGTGAGCTATTTTTTTTAAATAGCTACTTATGTAAGTTTTGGGTGCATAAATGCTATTTTGTGTCAACAAATGTAGGAAAATATACACAAAACAATTTTGGAAACTGTAGGCAGGACTTGTAAGAAACAAGAGATTTAAAACCCAGAGACCTTTGGTCTTGTCAATACTGTATCTAGACTGGTCAAGACATCTCCCTGTGCCCAAATGGACAGGCTTTAGAAAGACCAGACCATCTTTCTTCACCTCCATTGGAAGCAAGTCTGAGGATGCCTTAGTCCTTTTAGCTCTGTAGAAAGTTTTAGTTACAGTTTATAAGCATTGCTGGCTGGAATGTCACAGTATTGGGCACTTGCCTAGCATAATGAGGCTCTAGAGCAGGATTTTTCAACCTTTGGGTCATGATCCCCTTAGTGGTCAAAAGACCCTTTCATAAGGCTTACCTAAGACCATTGAAAAACACAGACATGTACATTGTGATTTGTAACAGAAGCAAAATTACAGTTATAAAGTAGCAATGAAAATAATTTTATGGTAGTGGCCCATCATAACACGAGGAACTATACCAAAGGTTCTCAGCATTAGAAAGGTTGATCACCATTGATCTAGAGTCTAGGTTCAATCCTCTATCCTGTAAATCAGCAAATCAAATTTACTTCAATACATTTCTTACTAAGTGTGACTACCACATTTCATTGGTATGGGGGCCAGGAGTTGAATGGTCACTGCTGGATACTTTAGTCTAGGCAGCTCAACTTGACCTGCTGCAGAATCCCACAGAGAGTTCCCCATTCTAATGTCATTCTGTTTCAATAATTTTTCAGAGGAAAGAGGAAGAAGAGAGGAGGCGAGGAGAAGAACAGATTCGCCTCCAAGAGGAGCAGAGAGCAAAGGAACTCTATTGGACCCTGAAGCAGGCCCAGCTGCACTGTCAAGCCAGTGAGAAAGAGGAGCGTGAGTGGGAAGAACAGCGTAAGTTGAGCTGTGTCCTGAGCCTAGAGGCCTGTCCCACTTTCCCCACCTGGTTCCTCCCACTGTCATGTGCTTTGCCATCATTTTATCCTTCTTCTTTACCACACAAGGCTTTACCCATGTGCATGGTCCTGATAGGACACAGACCCGACACTCCAATAGCTTGTGCACCTGCCTTGGAGATACCTTACATTAAAGAATGAAACATTATATTTACTGAGTTACCAATACCTTCCTGACTCTATGCTGTTGTCTAAATTAGTGTTCTATTGCTGTGAAAGGACACAAAGACCAAGACAACTCTTATTAAAGAAAATATTTAATTGGGAGCTTGCTTAGAGTTTCACAGAGTTAATCTGTGGCCATCATGGCAGAAAGCAGACAGGCATGGCACTAGAGCAGTGGCTGAGGGCTTTGTAACCTTCAGGAAGCAGTCAGAAGAAGAGGGGACAATGCAAAGAGAGACAGGACAGACAAAGATAGAGAGACATACAGAGAGCGACAGATCAGAGATACAGAGAGACAGAGATAGAGAGACATAGAAGAGACAGAGAGACAGAGACTGAGAGAGACAGATACAAAGAAAGAGGAGAGAGAGACAGAGACCAAGAAAGAAATAGACAGAGACACAGAGAGAGAGACAGACACACACAGACATACAGACACACACACACACACACACACACACACACACACACAGAGAGAGAGAGAGAGAGAGAGAGAGAGAATGGAGAATGGATCTGGAGTGGACTTTTGAAACTTCAAAGCACACCCCTGGTGACACAATTCCTTCAACAAGACCACATTTTGCAGTCCTTCTCAAACCATTAACTGGGGACCAAGTACCACTAACTGGGGATGAAGCATTCAAACATATGAGCCTGTGGGACCATTCTCATTTAAACCTCCACATTGGTGGGGACTTCAGATATGGACACTTACGGACCTTATGTTGAAGGTACTTCCAACTAAAGCAGATGAATACATGGAATCAGTGCTTTGAGGGAGAATGTGACAGACTCAGGGCTGGGTGTCCTAGTGGGCTCCAAAAAAGTAGTGTGAAGTGAACTTTGGTGGCTGCTTAGGAATAGTTGTGACAAAGAACACTATGAGAATATCTATCTATCTATCTATCTATCTATCTATCTATCTATCTATCTATCTATCTATCTATCTATCTGTCTGTCTGTCTGTCTGTCTGTCTGTCTGTCTATCTGTCTATCTGTCTATCTATCTTTCTATTTGCATGTGTATGTATGCATACGCACATATGGGTACCTGTGGAGGTCAGAAGAAGATGCCAGATTTCCTGAAGCTGGAATTATAGGTAGCTGTGAATGTCCTGACATGGATGCTGGGAACTGATCTCTGGTCCTCTTCAAGAGCAGCAAGCAATCTTAACCACTGAGTCATGTCTCCAGTCCCAAAGAGAGGGGGCCAGCATGCACAAAGGCACAGTGACCATGGGATATTGCTGGGTAAGAAATGTTGAATATGAAAATTCTAGGGAGTATCTGGTGCAAGAAATTAAGTGGGAAAAACAAGGTGGAGCCAGGTCTGGAGGGTGAAATTGTAACAGGTGCCCAGGAGCTGCTGAGACCAGGTATATATCACATGAGCACAAATGTGACTCCTAAGGTGTCTTTACTTATAGCTCCTAGACACCAAGGAGTAACACACAATGCAGGATCACATAGGAAGCATCAGGGTCAGTGACACGTACGAGTGAGGATAAGACCCAGGCAGGAACATTTATTGTGGCTGCAGGAATAGCAAGACATACAGGGTTAGGAATAGCTGATGTGAATGGTCCCATGGCACTGCTAAATACAAGCAGTGGCTCCAGTTGTTTGTGTCTGGCCTCTAGGATAACTAGGTCAGATGGATGCTGGCTCAGCTGTAATGGCCTCAGTAAATGTTCCTCAGTAGAGGCAGTGGCTTCTGTTTAGATTGCTTTCTTACAAAAAGCAGGGTCCTTATTACCTCTAGTAGTTGCCTGACCCTGAGAGGGAGGGACAGCCCTCTAGGCTCAAAGCATCAGAAAAGCAAAACAGTAAACATGCTTGTCTAATACAGGTGGTCATTTGAGTGTGTGAATATGTTAGGTCAAGGAAAAAATGAGCAGGTTTGGGTAGGTGTTTGCAACCTGTACATTACAGATACTGCAACTAGAGCCCACAGTAGGAGCTGAGAGGCAGGTGTTCTCCCGGATAGCCCTCTGCTTCTCAGTATGCCTCTGCTATATGAATATATATATGCCAGGTACTATCAGTTTTTTTAAAAAATCTATTTTATTGGGTTTTTATACCTCTACCTCCCTTCCAACACCCAACACTAGGTAGGATAGAAAGAAGGTTAGAAGGGAAGAAGGGCATAGATCTCTATAGTCTACTTTCTGCTGATTAAGGGCACATCTAATCTTTGCCATCAGGATATCCAGCAATCCAGCAACAGCAAATACAGCAGCAGGATGAAGCAACAACAGCTAGGGTAACAGCAGGGGGAGCAGTAGCTGCCACAGACCCTCTTGGGACTCTCATTTATACCCTCTCTAGGCATGCAAAAGTTAAGCTGAGCACTGTGGGAGCGCTGACTGGAGAGCATGGCCACTTACCAGAGTGACTTCAAACAAGTTCCATGGCGTTACTTCTGCCACATGAAAAGAGAGGACCTAAGGCTGGGGTACTTCTGCAGAGCTCCTGGGCTGCTGTTTCACTGGGGGTGGAGACTGGAAATCTTGTCCTATGAGAGCTGCCTGATTGTAGCTCAATGTGCTGTGTGGCCGCTGAATATAGAATAACCTCTGAAAGACTTAGAATATGTGATAATTCAGGCTCCCTGATTGGAGGTTTTCATTTTACTCTTTCTTAAAGAATGATGAGCTGAACTCTGAGCATGTCATTCAAATCTAGAAAATCTATTCTGCACTTAATTAATTTAATCTGAAAGATATAGTGGGCCATTAATCTACCAGGAATAGCAAGATTTGATAAAACAGTCAAATTAAGTTCTTCAACTGAGAGAAAAAATGGGAAAGATGGCTCTCAGTATCATGTGATTGGAGAGTTAGGTACTTAGCTGAAATCTCTCCCCAGACAGGTTTTCCTGCGTAGCCTTGGCTGTCCTGGACTTGCTTTGTAGACCAGGTTGGCCTTGAACTCATAGCCTGCCTCTGCCTCTCTGAGTGCTGGAACTAAAGGCCTATGCCATCATGCCAGGCTCAGCTCAAATCTCAGAGCTCTGGCTTCTGAAACTCTCTTGATAGGTCAGGCATGGCAGCGTGTTTAAATCCCCTTCCACTGTGAACTTGTAGGGTTATAGAGTTGGAGACTTTTAGTTGGTCAGAGATTTAGAGAGGATCCAGCAAATGATATTTATAGAACCCAGACAATTACTATTGCAGATGAGGTTAAAATGTAAATGAGGTTTGGCCATCCTGAGTAGGAGTTTTGGTCACTCTGTGTCTTCTAGCTGTGTGGTTTGGGTTGTAGCCCCAAATCAACCTCCTACATGACATTGCCACATTTATTGCCAGGTTACTGAAAGAGATGCCCAAGAAAACTTCACAAAGCCTTGCACAGGAATCCTCCAATGTTGGTTCAATCCATTTCTCTCTTAAAAAGAAATGGTTCTGGGTTCTTGGTTGAACAATGGTGATTCTAAAGTTCAAGATGTGGGACAGGCTAAGCCCGGAGGAGCTTTTGAGCATGGTGCTGGGCTGGAAGTGGGCTGGAGCAGAAAAGAATATGGGCCAGAAAGAGAGAGAGGAAAGAAGGGCTTTTGTTACCTTCATGGGGTGTGTAAGTGCAATGGTTGATTCTAGTGGGAAAGCTTGGTTGGATTAAGAAACCTCTATGCCATCTGTGACTTTTCACCTCCTGCTTAGTCTGAGAGAGTTTTTCCAGAGAAGATTAACTGAGGGAGAAGACTCATGGTGAAAATGGGTGGTACCTGACTGAGTAGCAAGGGAGAACGAGAAAGCCAGCAAAGCACCAGCCAATTTCTCTGCTTCCTGTTGGCTCAGGCTACCACCAACAGGAAGTTGTCCTTTTTCTGCAGGACAAACTGTATCCTCAAACTCAATTAAGATGCTTCTTAACAGGTAATTGGTCTCAGCAAACAGAAAAATTACTGATATCTTGTTGTTAGTTGTACATAGCCACAGTTGAAACTAAATTTTTAAGAAAGTTATGTCTCTGAAGCCTGAAGTTGAAATAGTGACTGTAATCTGAAACTACACAACCTCCTGGCTCAACAACATAGCCCACTGAGGGGTAGAAGCTGTGATCTGCTCAAGCAATGGTTCATTGTCACCGACCAGCATCAGCACATGCGTGCGCACATATATATACACAGAGAGAGAGACACATACACATACACAGAGACAGAGACAGAGAGAGAGATAGAGAAAGAAAAGGAGAGGGAGAGAACCCAGGAAGAGATCTAAAATAAAAATTTGAAGTGCAGTATAGACTAAATTTATATTACTTTTTAAGAAAATGTCACAAATCGAACCACCATAAACCAGGGGCCACCCCAATTCGGGGTTCCTTATTCAGTATAAAACTTCTGAATAGTGCTCAGCTTAACTTTTGCATACCTAATTTAGGCTCTATTTGGGTTTCCTCTCCTGTGGAGTTCCTCACAGAACCCTGGGCCTTATTTAGCTTTCTAAAATCAATCTGTACACTATCTACATGGCCTGAGGAGAGCTTGGATCCTAAAAGGATCCAGCAGTTGTCCTTGCTCAGCACACGGGTGTCTTGTTGTCAGGCATGAAGCTAGGCTAGAGGGATGATGGTAATCAATGGGATCCTGAGAAGACTTGGGGGTAAGGTCTGAGAAAGCTCCTTTCATTGGACCAGTTTAAGTCCAGATGAATCTCACATGCTTTCTCAGACGTGGATGCTCACCTTTCAGCCTTCACAATCTCTATTGCTAAAGGCATGGATTTATGCAGGTGACCTGGCTCCAGCAGGCTGAGTCACAGGACATCTGTGAAAATGGATACTCTAAACATACCCTCTCCAGAGGCGAAGAAGCCTGCTCTTTCTACATGTTCATTTTTTTCAGTTTCTTGGTAGGAGCTCCTGATTCTACCTAAACACTCTCCTCCCCATTAGTCGTTCCTCTCCCCCTCTCCACCAGGGAATGGACTTTTTCCAGATGGTGTTTTCAGTCCCCAGAATGCACAGCTTCTACAATAAGAACCCTGAATACATTTTATGCACACCTCTGTGGTAGGACCTGAGTAAACCCCTCCCATTTGCTCCCTCATTGAGATCTCAAAGCAACTTCATGAAGCCTTTCTTTTCTAGAAAGGAAAAGAAAATATGGATAGTTAATTCTCTACTCTAAGTCACAGAGAGACCAACAGAACTTGTGATTGTCTCAGTGGGTACAGGTAACTGCTGCCAAGACTGATTACCTAAGTTCAATTCTTGGGATTCATACGGTGAAAAGAGAACTGAATTTCACAGTTTTTCTCTGACTTTTCCAAACACACACACACACACACACACACACACACACACACACACACACACACTCCAATCTTCCACTCCCTGAAAATAAAGTAATAGTAATAATAATAATTCAACCTAATTGTATGGGTTCTGCCCCTTTATTTCTCTGAATTTATATGCTGTCGCTTTAGATATTGTCTTTGCTCAATGCATTCCAGTTTTCTACAACTTCATTCTCATTCTTGTGTTCACTTCCAGTGCTCTTTAGCTCAAGCAACCTGTGTTAGAGTGCAGCCAGAACTCTGCCCTCTGGTGGCTTTCAGTTATTTCTCAGGACAACACAAGAACACGTGATTCTGGAGTTACGGGTTAAGTGGCCTTTCTGGTCTATCTGCCCTGCAGGCCTCCAGTGATGCTACACTGGTCCAGGAGGGGCACCTCCTCCATCTGGCCTCTGAGCATACTCTACTAAAAATGCCCTTCCATGGGCCACTTTTGACCAAATCTCTTGAACTCATCAGGTATCAGCTTAGATCTCTCCTTGTGTCCAGAAGCTATCAGTTTCTGGATGAGCTGTTCCTCCTCAGAGACGAGGGTCAATGAACACCTCATCACAGCTACATTGTTTAGTGCTGTTTTTTCTCCCACTAGACTCTGAGGCTTAAGCATGACAACTGGGTCTCCTGGAGATATGTGGTGTGTGGCTTCATAGTATTAAATGGTAGTCCCATGCAATATTCAGAGATGGCACAAGTAGAAAACTAAATATACCTGTCTGATTATGCCATTCATTCATTCACTTATATTTTTGAAACATTATTATATAGTCAGGTTGTCTTGAAGCTTTCAGTCTTCCTGTATCAGCCTCCAAGGTCCTAGAAGTGTAGGAGTATATTACCACACCCGGCCAACATGTTATTTGAAGTAGTAATACCCTTTCAATAGTGGGCTCTTTACACTTCTGGAGCTGTATGGCTACTTACACAGATTCTGGCAAGAGGAAAAGCAGACACTGCTGGGTTTCCTTTTGGTGTTAGAGAACTGAGTGGAAGCCCTAAGTATCATCAGAGATTTGACTCTGGCATAGCCCGGCAGTGTGGCAGCTCTTGGACTTAGGGTGACACTGTCTCTATCATTCAGGGAAAGAGAACTAAAGAATAATATTGTTCCATATCAGAGACAGGTTCACGAACAACATCTATGTCTGTCTATCTCTCAGTATTGTCTCTTAGGTACTGTAAACTCCATGAAGTTGCTTGTCTTTGTATGGCAGAGGCTTTCAATACTTCACTGCATAATGGCTATGAAGTTTGTCCTGGGTTTCCTGACCCTATCTGACCCTCTACCCACAGTCCAATTGGGCTCCACAAAATTCTTGCTTCCAGAGGCCTCTACTATGTCACTGAAGCCTAGAGTTTCTTCCTGAAATGGGTGCCTCTCCTCCTTTCTCTAGAAAATACTTGATCTTCCCATACTGTCTTGTTCATTTTCTTTCACTGTAATTTACAAGACTCAGTAAGTCACAAGGAAAACAGATTTATTCTCTGTCCAAGAGCAAGAGGAGGCAGAGGGGGGGACAAAGAAGCTGATCTATTAGCCTTTTGTTTCCTAAGAATGGGTCTATCCCTGAAAAAATTAATCCAGCCTTACGAAGGTGACTCCCAGACTAGCTCTCTTGAAGGCCCTACATTCCAACACAACTTTTGGCAGAAACAGAGCACTTCCTTCTAACCACAGTCCCTGGCTGACTCTCCTCTGACAGCCCTGGTCCCTGCACATTATGAAAGGTGTAGACCCTGAACTCTCATTTATTATTTCTTCTTCCTCTTCCACCTCCTTTTTAATTGACACTCATGAGTTTTTTCATTAAGTTTAGTGATGTTTATCTGTCCTTTCTCCAACTTGGACAGAGCAGTTGAAATAAGGGTCTGCTTTCATGTCTTCTCTCTATGCATCCTAGAGTCAAATGAGAAGCCAAATCGTGGAATGTTTTTTAAAGTCATTACTTTTTAATGTGTGTGTGTGTGTGTGTGTGTGTGTGTGTGTGTGTGTGTGCGCGCGCGCGCGCATGTGTGCATCTGCTGAGGCCAGTGGTTGACTTTGAATGTCTTCTTCTATCACTTTCTACTTTGTGTTTTGAACAGGGTCTCTCCTTGAATCTGAAGCTCACAGATTCAGCTAGTCTGGCTGGCCAGCAAGCTCTAGGGATCCCTCTCTCTCTGCTCCTCCCTCCCACAGCTGGATTTCTGGCACATGGCAACATGTCCATTTTTTTTTATAGGATGTTGAGGATCAAACTCACATCTTTATTTGTTTATGGCAAGCATGTTACACATGAGCCATCTCTCAGCATACTGGATGCCTAAATGGTATCCTGTCTGCCAACCCTGTTCTAGACACTGGAGTTTGGCAATGAGCAGGCCAAAGAACTCTCCCCTCAAATGAAGGAGATGTTCTGTGTGTGACATCACTCAGTAAATGCCTCTGTAGGCACAGATTGTGTGCTTGGATCTGGGAAATGCTATGTTCTCAGGAAAGGATTCTGACTATTTGCTGACTTTGTTTGGACCAGTACAACTGACTTGTGTCTTCCCAACACAAAGTATGGTCCAGAGCTCTGTGGGAGCCTGTGATGCATGTTGAATGGATGAGTACAATTTTCTTTCTTGGAAGGAAAGGTGACTTGCTAGGGCCAGTGAAATTACCAATCTTGCACAACATGAAGTCCAGGGCCAGCTTCTAGAGCTCTCTATTAAAAACTCTTAGATTTTAGAGGCAGGTAGAGGCCTAGTAAGAAGCAGTCAGACTCCAGGATGACCAGTTCAGATAGGAGGAGCCCTTGATGCCAGTAGGCTTTGTTCAGTTTTCACTTTCTCAACCCTACACTTCTCTTAAGAGTGCATATGTGCATGCACACACACACACAACGGACACAGACATGCACACACACAGATACACGCAGACATGCACAGACTTACACACAGATATGCAGAGACATATACATATACAGATACATAGACATACAAGCCATAAACATGCATATACATACACATATACACAGACATGCATAAGGAGAAACAAAAGCACATAGACGTACATGGCTGGCCATATGTGGCCATCCCTAGAGGAACCATGCCTCCTGCAGTCCATGGTGTTCTGGGTGGCCAGAGAATCATGGAATTTCAAGTATATTGTGTCTGGTGCAGTCTATGCTTTCCTAGTGCATAGCCTGGGCTGTGGACCAAGGCCAACCATACTGTTCTCCTTTCCAGTACGCAGATCCAAGGCAGCTGATGAGGAGAGGAGCCGTCGTGCTCAGCGAGCCCGAGATGAGTACCGGCGCCACTCACTCCGAGCCATCCAGAAGGGCACTGTTGCCGGCTTAAGCACCATGTTCCAAGAACTTGGCCAGAACCATGAGCAGGAGACAAGACTCTATCACCAGCTTCCTGGCAGCAGTCCACCATCACCCCTCACAGGACCTGACAGGTGTGTTAGGATGGTCAGAACTCCAAGAAGAGCCATTAGAACCATGAGGAAACCTCCATGGGTTCTAGTCCAGGCTCTGTCTCTTTCTTGTGGGTCATTTGCCTTTCCTTGGTCTCAACATTCCGATCAAGGTAATGGGCAGAGCATAGAAATAGGTGGGTTCTGGACCTTTCTAACAACTTGGCAGTTTTGAGAGTTAAACTTTCAGAGGTCAAGGATTCTTGTAATCCCTGATAATCCGAAGAAAGATGTACATCTTCTTTCCCTCAAAATCTGCTTATACAAATATTCCAAATGTCTCCATAATTGTAGACTCCTTGGCCTTTGTCAAAACCTTGTAATGAAAGACATAAGATGGGAAAAATATGGTCCAGTAAATGGGAACTAGGACCACAGCCTTTTCTAATTATGGTGGAACTGCTTTGTAACTAGTTTGAACAGCAGGTTTGCTGACTAATGTGGATAGATTGAGAGGTCCTTACACACATTTGTGTCCCTAGAGGGGTTGTTTGCCAAGGACATTTCAGTTACAACCAATGACTGGCAAAGTCAAAGACACCTGGAGCCTCCCATGTTCTGCCTGTCTGGCTGTATAGCCCTGAGGTTTGGACTCTTGTCTCGAGGCCAAGCCATCTTTATAGAGCAGCTGCATCTCCGTGGAGGGGAGATGTGGGATTGAGTGCCTGTGGCTTCCTTATCTTCAGGGAATGGTCAGGAGTCAGTTTACCCCCAGATAATGTGGTTTGTCCAATTTTGTTCTGATTAAAGTTTGGGGTTGTTCATAATCTACCATTCCTGTCTGCTAAAGTCTAGCAAGAGCTCAGTCTGCTTTTATAGCTTCTCTGCCCATGCTTCCTCCCTCCCTCCCTTCTTTCCTTTCTTCATCATTGGATATGATTACTAATTTAGAAGGTCTGAGAAGGTATTCGCTCATAGAGAAATCTTGCTTCTTCACTGTGTACCTTCTCCTCACTGTACCATCATAGACACTGTTCTTAGCTTCTTTCCTATACCTCATCCCAACCCATGGGCTTTTTGTGCAGTTGCCAACCTAAAAACAAACAACAAACCTTATTTCTCTTTTCTTTAATAGCCGCCTTGTGATCTGCTGTGTGTGTTAGTTATCAGAGATTCCATCAGTGGGCATTGCTATTTCAAATATATTACAATCAACAGGCCTCTGTGAATATAAACTTGCGGAAATTAATTTTACATTGGGCAATCATTTTTGCAAAGATATTTTTCCCAGCAGGGTCTTTGCTCAAGCGCTGTGTGCTTTTGAGATTGACTGGCCCTGCACAGGGCTTTGCATCTTCATATTCTTTGGCCCACCTTGTTTTGTTGCCAACCTTATTTTGTGTGAGTAAATATGTCTTGGAGTAAGGTTAAATGCTCACTTGTGTCTACGAGCCAGACTAGGAGTCTCCCATATGTTGAAAAAGGGTGGTCCAGTCTACCCTTTCACTGTGTGGTCCATGCTCTCCTTATTCATCTCTAGGAACTCCCTAAGCTAGAAAAAAAATTGTGACAAATCTGATTTTTCAGTTTGTCATTTATCTTTTGGTTTTTGGAGGCAGAATTTTCTAGCATGCAGAAATGCTTGATTTATATGAGATAAATTTCTTGTGTGATTTTGAACCTGGCAAATAATTAGAAATGCCTCCCTACTTCCATGTTTTTAAAACTTTCTCTTTTTTTCTCTTTCTCTTTCTTCTTCTTCTTCCTCCTCCTCTCTCTCTCCTCCTCCTCTCTCTCTATATATGTGTGTGTGCATGCACATCTACACATACCAGGACTTGCTTTTGGAGGTCAGAGGATAACCTGTTAGAGTAAATTCTCTGTATGTGGGTTTCTCAAATCAAACTCACATGGTCTGACTTGGCATCAAATGCCTTTATCTGCTGAACCACCTCATTCCACTTAACGTCTTCCTTTTCTCCTCCATATTCCTCTTCTTTCCTTTCTTTTTTCTCTTTGATTCATCCCCTCCCTTACTCTTTTTCTTCCTTGCAGGACCTGGGAGCGTCCTTTGCGTCCACTCTCCAGAGAAGTCATTGTGCGCTGGTTCAAGGAGGAACAGCTACCTCGCCGAGCTGGCTTTGAGAGGAACACCAAGTCCATTGCCCCCTGGTTTCATGGTAGTATACTTTTTGGGCCCCATGGAAGATGATGTTCACACTTCCAACTCTAGAAGGACAGCTAAGGCCTTACTGGTCTTGGAGAGCCCTGGATGCTCATGTGAACTTCTGTATTCCAGTAGTCTAGCCCAGACCATCAAGTTTCTGCACCTTTTTCTCTGAGCCTTCCTTCCCTAACCAGCACTTAGAGCAGGTTAGGAAAGCTTCTCCTGCCATTGTTATTACCCACCTGACCTTTATGTGCCTGATTCCCTGTTGTCACATCTCCTAGTGGATTGAAGAGCCTTTGTGTTGACCTGTGTTTTCTGTATTTCTCTTGGTAATGAACTGCCCTCTTATTCCAGACGAGCTTCTGTGTACTCTCAATTCTATCCAGTTGGAAGGATAAACTTTGTGTCATGTGGGTGTAGAATTCTGATGTCTTGACAGTTGATTGGCAGCTAGCAGAGGCAGGCCCTGATGGTCAGGTACTGGAGACAGCTCTAACTCTGAGAAAGGCAACAGAAGTGCTTAGCAGGAAAACGTACTAACTGAGTAAAGCTATGTGCACTTTTACTCTAGCCTGCTGGATCCCAAAGAGTATGTGACCTCTGAATTACAGGCTGCAGGAAGCTGAGATACAGTATTGATAGGATCTCTGAAGGTCACAAAGGTGATGACACTTGCAGTCTAGGCCTTGGGAGTGTCTTCCCTGGTCTGTCCTCTTTGTGGCTCATCCTTCACAAAGCATTCTGGAACTTATTTTAAGTGCTGTCAGATCCTGTCACATCTTTGCTGTGTTATCCCCTATTTCTCTTCATGCATGTCACTTAACCCCTACCCCCATCCTGAGGTCCACAAGGCCCAGGTGACAAGTAGTTCCCTACACCACATTTACATTAACCAGCTGTGCCCAGCTTGCCTTTCTTCTGACCTTTCTCTATTCTTAAATGAGGCAAGCCACCCTTCACTCCAGCTCAGGCCCTTTGTCTTTGTGATGATGTTGCCTGCCATTTGCTGTTTCTCCTCAGCTCTTTGCTTGGCAGATAACGATGCTATTTTCCACCTGTAATATCTGCTCCTCAGAGAGGCCTTTCCTGAATTTCTCTGTGAAGGCTATTTTTCTTTAAGCTCTGTCAATTTGTCTTCTATCATTCCTAAATAGCTCCCTATACCACTGATATTTATCTTAATGTTCATTGTCTATTCTCCTATATGAATATAAGTCTGGAAATCCAAGAACCTGGCCTGTGTTACCCAGGGCTTGTTACAGTAGGCATCTGTGGAGGAATGGGCAAAGGAGAGCCTTAGCTTTCAGAGTTAGAATGATATCCCAGGCTTTCTAGCCCCAAATAACAGCTCTTGGTACTCAGCCCTGGGTCCTGGTAGCTGTATGAGCCCCCACATCACAGGGCCTAGTAACAATGTGACAGCCTAGAGCTGTGACAGAGAGGGATGACTTGTTTTTCTAATGGTTATTTGCCTAACAGATACAGCACACATATCTTAGGCACCTCTATGTCCACCTGTTACCTCTGCCTCCCAGCTGCACAAGGGTCAGATGCAGAAACACAGCCAAGAGAAGCTTGTCATTTTCCATTGCCATCATTATTGTCGACTTCTGGAAGATCACTATAACATCCCTACTATGTGGGTCACAATATGTATGTAGGCTTTGTTACACCTCAGAACACAGGTGCCCAAAGACTCAGTGGCTACAACCAACTAAGGATTATTTTATACTGTGGTCTCATGTTTATTGGCTTAGACATCTAGGCCTCAGACTGAAGTTTTGTTTTTACTGGAAAGCCTGATAGTTTCATAGCCTAGGGAAAGGAAAGAATGAGTGAGTCACACAGCAATCACAGAGTTTCTGGGTAGAACAGACATCTGTTGTGATTGTACAGGTGTCATTGGCCAAAGGCAGCCTGGTGTCTATGGTGTGGTTGTGAGTTTTGAACTTTTGAGACTCTTTCTTCTCTTAGGCCTCCACACTTCTAACAGAATCATGGATTGGCTCTTCATGGTCCAGAGAAAGCACAGTCAACACTCATGGGTGACTGAGCCATGTGTTCCTGGAGCTGATACCAGAGACCCTCTGTCTTCTGTCATATTGTGTGATCTGAAGCCCCTGGGGGAGCCTCCAATTGAGATACTACTCCCCCCATGTGTATAGTATTACCACCATAGAAGTAGTAAATGTTATCTTGGGTGGCTACAGAGTGCATCTCAAATATCCCCATGGAGCTGAGGTTTGGTGGCTGTACTGGTTGCTTAGTGGTAGCCAGTGGGGAAGGTATAATAGAGGTAATCAAATTTATCTCATTTTTGGAAGATCTTAGAGTTTTTAATTTTATGTATAAAGACTAGCATGGTTTCTTTCTTTGGGTACACTGTCTTGAATAATTCATTCAATTAAGGAAGCCTGTGCCCTTTGTGTAGTGACAGAAACACTACGTACACATCCTCGGCAGCGACTCCTATAAAGCTACTGGTCACCCTGTTGCCTTCAGATGTCCAGCTAGGGAAAAGGAAATTTATTTTTAATTTTACTTTCTATTTCAGTGGAGAAAAGGGTAAATTTTATGTTGTCACAGAACAAACAGAACTGAGATTTAAGTCTTACAATTTATGTAATTGACTTCATGTTCTTCTGACAGTTCCTACCATAAAGCATGTAGGGAAGTTGTTAACACACGGAACAGAACTATTTAGTGACCAAACTTTCATTGATTTGTGACAGAATGAAAGAAAAAGGTTCATATGTGGAAAATGGCCAAATTCCTTTGCTTAGAAAGAACCGTGCTATATTTATATTCTAGGATTATATTCCTTTTCAGTTTTAGTGTTAAAATGACTCCTCTTTTATGAATTGATGGTGATAGTTAATAGTAGTTACTTTAATATATTGCACTTTGGGGTAAAAACAAAACATTAGCAGCTCAATTTTGGTTCCTAAGACGTGTGTGTGTGTGTATGTGTGTGTGTGTGTGTGTGTGTGTGTGTGTGTTTAACTTGATTCATTTCTAAAATGCTAAAGTTGAGACTACCTAGAAGGTCCTAACTTTCTTTTTAACATGGGGATTTCCTGATGGGTGGGTGGGACTCCTTCTGTACCAATCCTCACAGAGACAGAGAACTTATCAGCCTACAGGTAGCCTGTACCAGTCTGTTAACCCCCACTGACAGAGGCTCTGTTCCTGCCTTGGGTAACTGGGTGTCTCTGCCAGGGAGGTCCTACTTTATGTGGCTCTCATCTTCTCGGAGCACTGGGTTCACTTAGATATGCTGCTGTCACAGTGATGGTATAGGTAGAAGAGAATGGTGGGCAACATGTGTGTTTCTCGAAGTCTCAGTGTAGGACTAGCACACTGTCAGTTCCGCTTCATGCTGCTGGCTACACTTTGTCACCTCTTCCTTATGTTCATCTTCCTCCTCTTTCTCTTTCTATTTCTCCTCCTCCTGCACCTCCTCCTCCTTTCTTGCAAGAAATTTCAAAGTCATACATCAGTGGGCATGGACACAGTGAGTTAAGAAAAATTTGAGTCAATGATGCAATCTATCACAATTAAAGTATAATTCTTTTCTTTTCCTGAATGAGACATTCCTAGTCAATTCAGATGGATTTTGATAAAGGTTAAGAATGACTACTGTAATTTTTTCTGTTTCTTCTTTTTTATTATTATTAATTACACTTTATTCATCATGTATTCCCCCATAAGCCCCTCCCTCCCGCCTCCCGGTCCCAACCTCCCCCCTTTCTGCATTCATGCCCCTCCCCAAGTCCACTGATAGGGAAGGTCCTCCTCTCCTTCTTTCTGATCTTAGTCTATCAGTTCTCATCAGAAGTGGCTGCATTGTCAGGGTTCTAGGTTATCTCCATGGATAGTCCTTGGTTGGAGTATGAGTCTCTGGGAAGTTCCCTGTATTCAAATTTTCTTGTTCTGTTGCTCTCCTTGTGGAGTTCCTGTCCTCTCCAGCTCTTGCTATTTCCCACTTCTTACATAAAATTCCATTCACTCTGCCCATCAGTTGGCCATCAGGCTCAGCATCTGCTTTTACAGTCTGCATGGCAGAGGCTTTCAGAGGCCCTCTGTAGCAGGTTCCTAGTTGTTTCCTGTTTTCTTTTTCTCCTGATGTCCATCCTTTTTGCCTTTCAGGATGGGGATTGAACATTTTTAGTTAGGATCCTCTCTTTTGCTTAGTTTGTTTGGATGTACAGATTTTAGTGGGTTTATTCTATGTTGTATGTTTATATGAGTGAGTGTATACTGTGTGTGTCTTTTTGCTTCTGGGACAACTCACTCAGGATGATCCTTTCCAGGTTCCACCATTTACCTGCAAATTTCATGATTTCCTTATTTTTCATTGCTGAGTAATACTCCATTGTATAGATGTACCACAGTTTCTGCATCCATTCTTCAGTTGAGGGGCATCTGGGCTGTTTCCAGCTTCTGGCTATTACAAATAAAGCTGCTACAAACATGGTTGAACAAATGTCCTTTTTGTGTACTTGCGCCTCTTTTGGGTATATGCCTAGGAGTGGTATGGCTGAATCTTGAGGAAGCGCTATTCCCAGTTGTCTGAGAAAGCACCAGATTGATTTCCAGAGTGGTTGTACCAGTTTACATTCCCACCAGCAGTGGAGAAGGGTTCCCCTTTCTCCACACCCTCTCCAGCATGTGTTGTCACTTGAGTTTTTTATCTTGGCCATTCTGATGGGTGTAAGTGAAATCTCAGGGTTGTTTTGATTTGCATTTCCCTAATGGCTAATGAGGTTGAGCATTTCTTTAAGTGCTTCTCTGCCATTCGATATTCTTCTACAGAGAATTCTCTCTTTAGCTCTGTTCCCCATTTTTTTAAGTGGATTACTTGGTTTGCTGCTTTTCAGCTTCTTTAGTTCTTTATGTATACTGGATATGAGTCCTCTGTCAGATAAAGGGTTGGTGAAGATTTTTTCCCAATCTGTAGGCAGTCACTTTGTTTTGATGATGGTGTCCTTTGCTTTACAGAAGCTTTTC